TGTAGGGAAGACCAAGATAACACACTTCATCCAGCCCTGAATTTTTATTGTTTGTTAATTTTGTTCTTTAGATTCCACATGAAAGTGAGGTCATACGGTATTATCTTTCTCTGTCCATCCGTGTTGTCACAAATGGTACAGCCCTTTATTTCTTAAACTGTGGCATTCAAAACTTGTGGAGAGGATCTTATTAAACATATCGATCTTAAGGTCTCAACCCAGAATTGACCTCTAGGGAATGGGTACAGTAATCTGTAGTCAATGAGCCTCCTATGTGATTCTCGGGCACAGCCACTGTCTTACAAACTCTCACACAGCAAGGGAGAGGCCCTCCTGAGGCCCCCTAGGAGTTAGGTTTTCCTGCTGCTCAGACACACAAAGAAATGGAACTGTTCAACAGGTCTTTATTAACAGAGAGACAGATGGACAGAGAATGCAGCAAGGGCAGTGTCTGGAAGCTGTGACGGGTATGTGTGCAGAAAAGGCCTTCGCTAGGCCAGGGATGGCCCCTTGGGCATAGGCCCACCTCTCCAGGTCCTCTCCCCAGGGTTGGCGCCTGTGCTGAGGCCAGCCTCCCCACCATACCCCTGAGGGGATCTTTCAGGATAGGAGGGATCTTGACCTCAGCATTCTCCATATTCTGGTTCCCTAGCTGACTTGGTTGCTGAGAGGGTTGGGGACAGGCCATGAGGGTGCTTGCATAGAAGGGAACAAAACAAGGGTAAGGCATATGGTGAGGACAGGGAGATCAAAGGTAGGGCATCATAGCTGCAGGTGAATGGAGCCTCCAAAGGCAGCTCCTCTTCTCCCTCACCTCCCTCCTCCATTGCTGCTGGGTTGAGGGGTCAGACCCAGGCAGAGTGCTAATAACCACCCCAACTCCTAACTCCAAAGCCCTGACCAGGTGCGGGGAAGTTCTGGAAAGGCCTGAGTTAGTGAGTCAAGCTTGTGTTCTGTGTGTTTGAATATGTCTGGATCAGTTAGTATACATGAGAATCCCTCTCTGGATGGGTGTGAATGCATGATGCTGCCATACACGTGGAATTCAGGATCTGAATGTGTGTCCCATAGGTTCCCACAGGTCTCTATGTTTGGTTGTATAAGCATGTATGGCTGTGGTCATACACCAAGAATTCAGTATCTGCATGTTTTGAGTATGTCCCTGTCTGTTTGCATGGGTTCCAGCAAGTGGACGTAGGTGAGCCTGTCCACTCCTGCTCATCCACAGGTCCTCCTTCAGGCCTGGATAGTCAGGGGTCCTGGCCGAAGAGGTAGGTAGTGAGCTCAAGCCGGAGGCCCCGGGCATAGGCGCGAAGAGTGTAGAAGAGGGTGAGGAAGTCCTGGGTGCTGAAGATTGTGTCAGCCAGCGCGAAGGCCAGGGTAGATGGGATAACACCCCGGCCGTACTCCACCATCCATGTGTTTGGCCCCCACTCCACAGCCGTTGCCTCACCAGGCCCATGCATCACTGTCTCCCCTGGGGGATGAGGAGCACCCACATGAGGAGCCTAGCCCTGTCTTTTAATTGCTGCCACCTCCCTGGCCCATGGTAGGGAATGGAAAGAGAGCTTAAGGAAAGACAAAAGCTTGACCTCACTGGCCAGGTCACCCATCTGGAGGGATAAGAGGCCAAGATGACCACTCCTAAATTTTCCTCTGTGGCATCACCTGGCTCATGTCCTCTCTTGGGGGAAGTCAAAGGTGGGTACCTCACCTGGTCATGGGCTACTGTACAGGAGTCACAGAATGCTGTATTCCCAAACCTCACTCATGTCAAGTAGAAATTTAGCTAAACTTGGGCTGAGCCTGTTAGATACAGAAGGGTGGTTATAAGACTTGTGAGGCTTTCTGAGAAATGTAACTGTTCAATTACAATGCTAGCTATGTTTGTAACACTCAACCTCAAAGTTACTTGAAGGTCCGAACCTCTGCTTTTTATGTAAAATATTTCACTATATAAAAAAGGAAGACAACTGTTTGCTTTGCCTTTGGGGGCATGAGAGCATTGCTGATTACCCAACAGTCTCCCCAACAACTCCTGGAATATCGGATGAGTAAAACAGTGTCTTGGCAGATAAAAATTAGACATGGTTAACAGGAAGCTGTTATGTTTTGTTTCCTTTTGACAGAGGAAAGCCTTCCCACCGGCCTCAACCAACCACCTGTGGCTTATCTAAGGAGTAAGGGAACCAGGGGAAGGGCCCCTCAAAGCACTCCTTTTTCATGCCATGGCTCTCTCCCCCAACTATGGGCATCCCAGAATGAAAGAACTCATTTATCTGACAGAACCTCTCTACCCACCTGGATAGAAGACCTCACTTTTGGTAGTGCCCTCTCTCCACTGGTAGAAGGTGCCAGAGATGATGGTGTCCGAGATCTCAGCCCAATAGCGCCCTGCGGGACAATCAAATGGACATGGACTATCAGGGTATCCACGCCATCACATGGCCTGGCCAAACAGAAGGGAGGGCATGGGCCCCAGCCTCCCAGTCCGGCCTGCCACCCAAACTGACCAGAGTGGCCGCCAGAGCTCAGGGCGGTGCCGAAGAGCAGCACGTACTCGGACAGCGAGGCATGCAGAAGGCACATGGCGCCCATCCAGCCACCCGCGTTCACGAACACCCACTGCAGCTCCTCGTCCGGCAGCACGTGGCCTGGGTGCAGCCGCCGCAGCTCCACGATCAGCCGAGAGAAGGCCAGCTCGTGGTCCAGCCCTAGCAGGGACAGAGGACCATCACAATCAGGGCCAGCACGGGTCCCAAACTCGGGAACGACGTCCCCAGAACCCCCAGCTCGGCCCGGGCCTCCCCATCCCCCTGCCCTCCACCCATTCATTCACCCGCTCACCCGCCCGCTCACCAGCATACTGCCGCGCCAGCTGCGCGATCTCTTCGTGCTGGAAGACGAAGCTCCGCGTACCCAGCCAGAGCCAGATCACCTGGGCCAGCACAGCAGCTGCAGCCAAGAGCAGCGCGGCCCACGCCCACCGCCGGCCCACGACCCACTGCATCCCTTCCGGCGGCCTGACACAACGTAGCGTAGGAGGGAGCTGGGGTCTTAAGATACGCTGCCCTCTACCACCTAGCTCACCGCGCGCCCTCCACGGCCCGTTCCCCCGCTACCGCCGTGGTACGGCTCTCTCTGACCAATCAGAACTGCTCGAGCATTCAGGAACCCGCCCCTCGGGTTGTACCATTTCTTCGCGGGGAGAAAGGAACGCGGAGGGTTGGAGCGGTACAGCGCGCAGGAGGTAAAGGGGCGGGGCCAAGCCCTCCTTGCTGCCTTACCTTTGGTCCTCCAGGCGGGATGTCTCGCGCTCCATCTTACGTGGGGGTAGGAGTTGGTTGCCGTGAGACCCAGAAAGGACTTTCCCTCTGGGCCGACTGATTGGTAAAAACATGCCAGCCCGGAAGCGGAGCCTGGGCTCGTTTATTCTTAAGGCCTGCTTTTGATAGCACAAAAGCGCTGGGCAGGGCAGAGGGCGGAGCACTTCAACCTGGGAAAGTTGAGGTTTTTCTGGAGGTGGTGACACCTGAAGAGTGTCTTTAAGAGAGATGGAATGGGCATTCCAGACAATGAGAATTACTTGAAGAGCGGAGGCACTGAGAGACAGCGTAGGGTCTTCAGGGGCCTGCAATTCATCGTTCTGAAGCACAAAAAATGAGAAGAAGCTTTTGTAAACCAACTGAGGGTTAGTTATGGCAGGGGAGTGATAAAGAGAAGCAAAAGAGAAAAAAGGCAGCATAGTGCAGTGGTTCGAAAGAAACTGAAGGTGGACTGACTGAATTAAAAAATTGGCTCCTGCCACCTACTGGTTGTGTGACCTTGGGCAAGTTACTCCTGTGACTCAGTTTTCTTATCTGTAAAATGGGGCAAATAAAAGTACCTACCTCATAACACATACTTTCATTGTGATAACGATTAAATGAGTTAATATTTATAAAGCAATTAGTACTTGGCATGTGTTGTAATATTTGTTAGTTACATAAATAATACAAAAGAGAGGAGAACTGAAACAGCAAAGCCTCACACATAAGGGTGATGAAATGGTTAACACAGTCCCAGATAATTGGGAGATTCAATAAAATGATCGGAAATGGTCATTAGGTTTCTCAGTAGGGGCATGTAGCAGAGATGATGCTATACATTCACAAATCCATTTCCTTATGCTCTTGGGCAGCCAGATTACATTCCACAGTCTATTCTGTAGTTAGATGAGGCTGCGTGATTGTGTTCTAGCTAATGAGGTATAGGCAGACATAATGATGTACACCACTTCCAGATCTGGCTCCTAAAACCTGTGAAGTTCTTTACATCCTCTTTCTTCTCTCATCTATTATCATTGTCACATAGAATTAAATAGTTACTGGAGAATTCAGAATGCTGCATGAGACAGAGCTCCCCTTCTCCTCCGTAATGGACTGTTGTGCTAACCCATTGAGTTTGGGGGTTTTATTTGTTACAGCAACTAAGATTACTCACCCTAACTAATAAGGACAAAATATATGTTGCAAGGTACTGTGCAGGTAACTGTAGAGGCTGGGAAGATGGACTATTTTTTGAGAAACTATGCCAAGAAGGGAAAGATAAAGAAGGGACTATTAGAAGAGAATGCAGAATTGAGGGAACTTTTTTTATTGACCCTGGTGTCTGTGACACTCTTGAGCTGACCATTCTCTAAGAACTCTAAGTAGCAGGGACTAGCCCCCAAATCTGGCCTCTGCCCTGCTGTTCCAGGCAGAGCCCTCTGTGACTATCTAGGCCTGCAGTTCCTCTATCTGGTCTTTCAGAAAGCTTCTCCAGCACACACTAAAAACAAACATCAAAACTCTGAAATGTTCTTTGGCATTGAAAGAGTTCAGAACTGAACTCCCCAGGATGTGCCACTTTGGCATGTGAATTATCTTGAGCTGAAAGCAATTGAGACCCTGTGGACTCATGAGAAACTTCTGCCTCTCTTTTAAAGAATTTAAATTTGGGGCCTTGCCCATAATAAGAGTTATTACCAGAAATAACTTTTCATCACCTATCTATAAGGCAGGGCAAACTTCTAATTACTGAACATGTGCTCTTATCCTGCAATGACCTTTTTCCCATCTGAAGCTCCAAGGTGACTTACCTTATCCTTAGCTCAGAATGTCATATGTACTTCATTTTAACTTTCTGTCTTGAACTTCTTATGTATGTGAGGTCTCTGACTCTTTCATGTATATGGGGTTTCATATGTATATATTTAATTAAATTTGGTTTTCTCTTGTTAATCTGTCTCACGCCAATTTATTAGACAAGCCCTGAAGAACCTAGAAGGGTAGAAGAAAGTTTTTTCCTCCCCCACAGCCTTGAGAGGGTTTAAAGAAGGGGAATAAGGGGCTGGGGATCACAGCTACCTTTCTGAGACATAGAAGAGATCACATCTTTGGAAAGAGTTAGGTAGGTCCCATGTCAGCCATTCTCCTCTTCTCCCTAAAAGTGACCTTGTAGAGACACAGAGAAAGGAGAGGTTTGGCAATAGTTCTAAAGAGATGTTTCTGAAGAGGGTCAGGAGTTAGTTGGCATGATCCAGAAAGTGACACTGAAGCACTGGTGTTCTTGGGGAAATGATGCTCACTTAAACAACAAGGACAGCTGAGAGAGTAGAAAAGCAGCTCTATCCACCACCACCCCCATTTCTCCCATACTATGGGCAGCCAGTGGACAGGTACCCCGCCCCTTAGCTTCCTGCTCCCTGTCCCCTACCCAGTGACCTGTACAGATTTCAGTCAAAGGACCCTGGGGCAGAGATTAGGTAAATGACCAATGACCCAGTTTTTGCATTTGAGCTGCAAAACACCTTGCTTGGCTTGGCCTGGCTTGGGGGAAGGGGCCTCCCTGCTACTGCCCAGCTTTAGTTCACTATACTTCTGTACTGAGTCTCACTGAAGTCTCAGAAGTGTTTTAGAGAATTTGGAAAAGACTGGAAATTTGGGTTCAAATCGTAGCATGGCTACTCATCCTCTAGATGACCTCGAGGCTCTGTTCTCCACTGTGAAATGGGGAGGAGGTTCAGACAATGTTTAGATGGCTCTTTAAAAGTGCCAGGAGAGAAATAAATTTGAATTTTATTCTAATGTTAGCCAATTGGTTCGACCCAAGGAAAAGTTGGAAAAGGAAAGGAAGTATTTAAACACCTCTGACCCCACCCAGATGGTGGCTAGAGCTACTGATAGTCCTGTCCTCCTCACACTTTCAGATTTCTTATAACCCTTTTACCCTGCCCACTTCTTGTGCGTCTGGTGTGTGTGGGTGTATAAGAGAGAATGTGTGTGTGAGAGACAGAGAAAGAGAGAAGAAGAGTGAGAAAATGGTTATGTTGACCAAAAAAAAAAAAAAAAAAATTAAACCTTTAGAAAAGTTTGAGTTTATTTGAGCCAAATTTTGAGGACACGTCTGGAAGCAAAATCTCAATGGATTGAGAAAATCCTCCAGAGAATGACAGTTTGCAGTTCCTTTTATACAGTTAGAATCAAAGAAGGAAATATATGGAAGGTACATGAAATCCACTGGTGGTAGATTAAGGAGGCAAGAGATAGCAAAGTGGGGAAATCTCTAGGGTTGGATTAAAAACAAAATGGAGAAACATACTTCTTTTACTTTGGTGAGTGCAGGTTAGTTAATAATTAACATTTACAATACGTTAAGATGGTATGGAGGGAAAAAAAGGTAAAAATGAAGGGTTCTGTGGTCTTGTGCACTGGTGCCTGTGGTTTTGCTTTTGAGGGGCCTGGAAAAGAAAATTATTCTGGTATTTCAAAGGTATGTTATCCTAGATGCGTAAGAACAATGGACAGAGCTCCCTTACGCGAGGCAGACCAATGGCCTCCCCTCCCCCATCCCCAGTTTACCTCTTCTCCACCGTAGCCACTGAACAGGTAATTGAGGTCATTGTGGATCCAGGGTTATACCCTTACTTGGCCCTAGATTGTAAGCTTCAGGAAGGCAGAGGCCTTGCCTGACTTGTGCACACAAGAGCATCCCTCTGCTTTAAGTGGAGCCTAGGTGTCTGGCACACGGTAGATACTCAGTAAATATTTGTTGAATGAATGACCAAATGAATGACGGAATACAGTAAAGAAATCTTGTAAGCGTCTTGGGGTCCAAAGATCTGCAGTAGTCAGCTTTCACATAAGTTTTTCCGGATACTGGCTTTGGCTCTGGGGTGGAGCGCCAAAGCCACCCTCTACATAGCTAAGCTGCCCTGAGCCCCGCCCCTAGGCGGCCAGTTGGCCCCCGCAACAGTCATGAGCTAGAGGTCGACCAATCATGGGGGTGGGCGGAGCTGGCAGGCTTAAAGATGGGTAAGGGGCAGCTGGGTCGGCGTTCCTGATAGTCTCCCACCGAGCGAGTCCTTATGTCGTGCAGCGGAGCAAGTCCTGAGCAGCGCCAGCAGGCGTCAGAGGCGGACGCCACAGCCACAACCTTCCTGGCGAGCGGTAACTGCAGGGCACTTCGGACTCATTGGGACGCGGAACCGAGCCTTTCCTTTCTTTAGGAAGTTGTCACTACCCCCACGTCGGCGCGCCCACCCCGACAGGCCCGCGTAGCGAAGACTCTACCGTGCTGGGCTGCGGGCTAATTGGCGTTGTAAAGCCCAAGTCCAGCCCTTTAGCTCCTGAGCAGGATGGGGCAGAAAGGGTGCCTCCGAGCTTGGGCCTGCTACTGTTGACTGAGAGTGAGAGAAGAGGGGACCAAAGAGCTTTGCTGAGTGATATTTAATCTTTGCCTCCAGAGCATCAACATATCCGCTACAACCCGCTACAGGATGAGTGGGTGCTAGTGTCAGCTCACCGTATGAAGCGGCCCTGGCAGGGGCAAGTAGAGCCCTCCCCTCTGAAAACAGTGCCCCGCCATGATCCTCACAACCCTCTGTGTCCTGGGGCCACACGGGCCAATGGAGAGGTAAGCCGTTAGAGCTTACATTTGCAGGCTGAGCCTGGGGGAGTAGTTCCCCCTTAGAGCTGCTCCTCACCCACAGAATAGTGGACATCCTTCTGGGTCATATCTTATCAAGTCTTTTAGACCCCAGAGTGGGACTCTTCCAGATGTCTAGCCCTTGAAGCCCACCACGTGACTGGTGGTATGGGGCAGCAAATGCTTTTAGCCCATCCTTGGCTGTAGGTGAATCCCCACTACGATGGCACCTTCTTGTTTGACAACGACTTCCCAGCTCTGCAGCCTGATGCCCCCAATCCAGGTAACCTGGCTCTGGCTGCTGTTGGGGGGAAGAGAGGCTGGACCTCTTGAGGAGATTTCTGTTACAGAGTGCTACCCCTTTATTTCAGGACCCAGTGATCACCCCCTTTTCCAAGCAGAGGCTGCTCGAGGAGTTTGGTAATGATGAATTCCCTCTCTTAAAACCTCCAGCCCAAGGCCTGGACTGAGCAGTTGGGTTGGGCTCTGCCCCTACCACAGCCTAGCCCTACATTTCTGTCATCCTTTTCTCCCTCCCTCTATTTAGTAAGGTCATATGCTTCCACCCCTGGTCGGATGTAACACTGCCGCTCATGTCAGTCCCCGAGATCCGTGCTGTTGTGGATGTGTGGGCCTCAGTCACGGAGGAGCTGGGTGCCCAGTACCCTTGGGTGCAGGTTTGTGAGGTTGTCCCCTCCCCCGGATGGGCAGGAATGGGGGTGGTACAGATTTAGTTCTGGGAAGTGGCATCCCTGTTTCCACAGGGTGTGGTTTGGAGGGGTCAGTGTCTTTTTGGCTACTAAACTCCCTGCCCCTACCTGATAGATCTTTGAAAACAAAGGAGCCATGATGGGCTGTTCCAACCCCCACCCCCACTGCCAGGTAAGTGTGTCAGGGACTCCAATGGATTTCTAGGCTGAGTCCAAGCTAGCACTGTGGGGACAGTTATTGAAGTAAGGAATGGGACAGAGGGAGTATGCTAGTCACATGGAAGCTTGGGGGTAAAGGACTTGCCTTTTTTTTTCTCTGCTCTTACTCTTTGACAGGTGTGGGCCAGCAGTTTCCTGCCAGATATTGCCCAGCGTGAGGAGCGATCTCAGCGGGCCTATCAGAGTCAGCATAGAGAGCCCCTGCTGATGGAGTATGGCCGCCAGGAACTGATCAGGAAGGTGGGAGAAAGTCAGGCCCTGCCCCCAAGGAGCCTTTAACCTTACCCCAAAAGAGAGAAGTGCGTGAAGGAGAAAGGTAGAAGAGAAGTAACAGAGAGACTTTCTGCAAGGCCATACCAATAATATAAAGGAAAGATGATAGTGCTTTAGGCTGGGGTGGTTGTGGTAGAGGTGGTAAGAAGCCATCAAATTCTGGGTACGTTTTTCTTTTGCTTATCTTGCCTATTTTCTGATCCCCAATATCTGCCTTGATGACCTCATCTCCATTTGGTTTGCCTAGGAACGTCTGGTCCTAACCAGTGAGCACTGGTTAGTGCTGGTCCCTTTCTGGGCAGTGTGGCCCTTTCAGACACTGCTCTTGCCCCGTCGGCATGTGCGGAGGCTACCTGAGCTGACCCCTGCTGAGCGTGATGGTGAGTCTCCCCACTGAGACCCTGGGGCCAAGCTCTGGATGAGGGTGGCTCTGATAGGGCCTGCATCTAGGCCCCGGGCTAAGAGTCAGGCTCTGATTCCAGATCTAGCCTCCATCATGAAGAAACTCTTGACCAAGTACGACAACCTATTTGAGACATC